TTGTGTGGAATGTGGGGTGAAGTGGAGTGCGAGTGCGAGTGCGAGTGCGACTGACTGATGCAAGGTGCTTGGACACCAGATGGGCGAACGTCAGTGGGTGTACTATGTGATTGCAGTGGTTAAGGATGAAGTTTGCGAATGTTTGTGCTTGTGGTTATGTGTATGTGCTTTGCAATCATTGTCTATGCAAATGTTTTAAGGTATGCATGGCAAAAAGGATTCGTTGCTGTTAGCGCATTTACGAGGCGGAGACAGCTAAAGGCTTTAGGTGCTTTTCCGGAACTGTGCATTGAATATATTCATGATATGTGTGTCCGGAACTAATACCTCACATATTGATATGCAAATTTACATACATTGGGGTTTACATTAGGGTGGCACACACCTAAAAAAAGTTGCACTTTTTCGTAGATTTGATTGGATTCGCGGAATATAGCTATTAAGCAGTTCAGCATCACTCAAGAGCTAAATGTAGATTAGCTTCGACTGGCTCTTCCATAAGATCTCACATAGACCATAGATTGATGCTTAGAGTGTTTTCAAGAAAGTGGAGGTCAGTGTGTTTTCTAATCTAGTGTGTGAGATGAAGAAAACAGAACCAAGAAGCTTGCTGTGTTACCCAGTGGTAGTTTTCTTCGACTTTTCACTAGCATATCCCAAACATTCCTTTCCATGCCTTTGTGCGCTGTTTATAGTGACTCAACTATTAAGGCGCAGTTCGCGAATTCGGTTCATAGGTTAACGCAAGGATTGTTCGTCATTGTAGCCATTGCTGATCTAATTTCGGACTATCTGAAGCTAGATTCTCCGTAAAATCAGCTGCTTTAGTTGCAGCTTAGATCCCATAGATCATATAAAATGTTTTAGTAGTCCAAAAGCTGCAGACAGATTTCAGAAGCTTCCAATTTCTCACTCCTTCCAGACCCGCCCTTAAAGAAATGATAGATGTAGTGATGGTATCGTAGTTCCTCCTCCCACCCATCTTGCTCTATATATTGTGACGTACGAAGCCTATATAAAGCTGATCCAACAAGCGATAAAGTTTTATTTACCGGTTAGTTCACGAAAATTACTTTCACAAAGTTACCGTTGTGTTTACTGTCCTGGTACTTTTAGTCTCAGGAGCAATTTGTCCACTCTTTCAATATTCGCTTAAAAATTTCACTCATCGAGGCTAGACATCCACCAGAAATGATAATGGCTAGATCAACAGCATACGAATTGATTATAGAAGCGCTACCTCTTATTCTGAGTAATATCTTGTTGATTATAAGCACACACGTCATTGGCTATAAGTAGCATACCAAACTACACTCAGAAAAAAGACCAAAAAAAAACTTGATACTTAAATCATGGCCATATCAAGGATTTCGGCAAAAAAAGTTCATTTGGTTCAAAAAATTTTAAATGGAACTAGAAATTCTAATTTTATGATTTTTTCTTGGCCACAAATTCTGCTTTCATGCTTATTGATATTTTTGAAAGGCTTAGGACTGAATATATTTTATTTAAAATTTTAGGAACAAAAAGTGAAAAATTTTATCCTGTCGGACTTGCTTTTACATAAAACAAAATTTTTCTCTGCGTGTAGCGAGTGCCTCAGGGTACGTTCACACAGTAAGCGGGCCCGAGCCGAACGAAGCCGTTTCGAGCTGAGTGAAGCTTTCAAACTGCTGTAGCTATATGAAAGTATTCATACAGCAAGCTGTTTTCATAAGCGTTTTGGAGCTGAAAGTAAAGCAGTTTTTGATTTTGAATTATTTTTTTAAGCTTCGCTTGGCGAAAAAGAAACAATTTTTTTTCTGTAAATTACTTCCCTTGGAGCATGTGGCACTCTAATGTGCATACTAGATGTGTGTTTGAGATGTGTGTATGTGTAAGCATAACTCCACCTCTGCCTGCAAGTATGTATCTATCTACTCCACTGAATGGCCTTTTAATTTTTCTGCAGTGAATTTCCGTGAATGACTAGTTGTAGTAAAGGATTTTGTTATCTCCTTTTTCCGCCGGATATGGTATGCCATAACTAATTTCCGTTTATGTTTTTTTTTTGCTTTTCTCTTTCCCCACACAGAAAAAGCTTCCGAATTGGGTTGGCCCTTAACACTGATTATCGTTTCGGTGATTTCGGCGTTGCTGGGCGCAATCATCATGGTGACGGTTGTACGCTGCCGAAGGTAAGTGAGAAATTTCAAAAATATTTCATATCTACATGTTTGTATACATATGTATATTCGCTACACATAAATATGTATGTATGTAAAAAGGAACTTGAATAAGCTTAAATACTTTAGCATAAATATTCTTAACCGAATTGTGGCATTCGTTTGGGGGTTACTTAGTTATATGTAAATATATAATAATGAAACTAATTAAGAAGGCTTAGCTACATTGTGATAGCAATAATAGCTTAGGTATTAACCCAATTGTGGCAATCTTGTCATGGGTGGATACACAAAAATAACTTGATACGAGCTCCACAAACAAAATAACTATCTACTATCCGTTCATATTTGTCCTTAAGCAACTTAACGCTTTTAATGAGTCTAAACATGTCTGTCGCCTTGACGTTATTTAACCGCTAGGCAAATGCTGGAATACTAATATACAAATATGTAAGTATGTATGTATTATACACACATTGGGCGCCCTGCGTTTATGAGGGTTAGTAAAATTTTCATTACAGCATGGGAGATGTCCCTTGCTGAGCCTGTTGAGGAGGATTAGTAATTTCATCAGGTCTTAGTAACAGCTGACACAAACCAAACATTCTACAACAACTTACTCGTTTCGGGCACTACTTTCTGCCGTCGCTATTTTTGCTCAGTTAATTGTGAAATAATGAATTAAATACTTATGACCGAAAGAGTTGTAACTTATATGATATTTTGCATTAGCTTTCCTATCAACAAAACTAGTGCTAGGATGAACTTTTATTAAACATAACTCTAAACCGTACATAGGCCGGTATTGAAGGATCGAGGTCTGATATTACCTAGGTGTAGTGGGATTTAGATAGATCTCCTAACCCTATTGTACGCCTAGTTTAGGTACCTATTTAGCAGCTATCTATCTATTCAGAGGCACATTGTGATGCGAAGAAAAGAATTTGCCCAAACCTGTCCCTACATAACTTTAGATTAGACTTAAATTGCTGCTAAGCTTAGAGGAAGCCAGCACACTAAGGCCCAGTCAAGGGCCCATTGTGATGCCACATGGATCCAAAACCCCTACTCCTTAAATCAATTTGTGAAGTGTATGAATCTTAGCCACTGCCATAATCCTATACCTGAGAATTTCTGTCTATTCCTGCATAGTGCAGGCTAATAACAGGGTAATTGCCTGATTGACTCAGCCTCTTCTTCGCCGTTGCAGCTTTTGCAGCAGTGATTGTGGCTGACCCCGAGGCCTTCTGCATGCCTTCCTATCAGGATATGTGCTGCGAGGAGGCCAATGGCCCGTGAAATGACGCCTCTATTGATTTTGAGAATTGCTCTCGATCTCCGAATATTCCATTTCGGCCACGTAAGGTACGTTGTATTGCAGGTTTCAGCTGGTAGCCGCTCCACCAAGGAAAGGTTCCCTTAGTAAGAGCTTGCATGAAGCGAGAAGGATATCAGTTCCATTCCAGGCGGGTGAAAGTGGAATGAAAGTGCCCCCTCTTGCAAGCTCGAAAAGATATGTCTTTAATCCAACCTGAAATTTCGGGCTAAGCCCAATGGACCCATTAAAATAATTTTCCATAATTTGTCAAAGTTCTCGAAATTTTGTGGTACATTCGCATAAAAAGTACTGGGTGGAATCTATATCTTCCACATATCTACGGCTTCTACATATCTATGCAAGACTATTTTGGAGCTCTAGAAAACTCTGTGTTCTTCGCTTATCGGAGCGGCGGACAGATTGCACGCGATACAGTGCATGCACAGATTTGTTCACCTGCTGTTAGTAGCTGCTCCAGCAATCCCCTTAACTCTTGAAAACAGGAATCTCAAGGAAATCTATTTACTTTAAATTGTTTCGCCTTATTCTTTCATAGATCCTTTCCTCGCGCGCAGGAGGAGATCCAGCAAAGACTAACTTTATGCTGTCGGTATATCTAGTTAGTTGCTACCGACCCAAAGATATTGACGGCAGCAGCTTGACTATTCACAATAAAGGCGAGGTTTGATGGAGTTAGGTCGCCCATGCAAATGCATATATCTCAACTTGGAATACGCTGCCGTAATCTGGAAATGAATAGTCCTGTCTTAAATACAGTTTCTCCGTCAAGACGCTAGATCCTGCACCAAATTTCTTATGGGAAAATCGGTATCTGGTCATCGCCTAGAACTATTAGTTTAGATTTTATCACTTCAAAATTTCCTTAAATGAATGTTGCTTATATTTGGACAGGCGAACCTTAACGTAACTTAGGGCAACGCCCACGTCTGTCTCAATTTGATTTTCTAAGTTCTAAGTTACATTAAGTTAAGTTGCCGTAATCAGACCTTTAATACCCAAAATGTTCCTTTCCATGTACCTTGTCAGATCGTTAACTTCAGAGTAGATTTTTATTGGTAAAACAGCTGTCAAAGGGGTTGAAAGCGTAGTTTATTATAACGGTACATACATACGTATATAGTAATAAATGTTAATATAATGGGAAAGATTTATTGCCGAATCCCACCATGACATTCAAAAAATACATTAGTTTTATATTGATTTCGTCCACCTTATGCTAGTTTCATTAGTTTCAAAATCATCTACACAAAACATTGAACATATTTTGAAACCCTTCCTTTTTTCTCTCTCTCTCTCTCTCTTTCTTTGCAGAAAAAAGCCGTCGAACAACCGTAATGGTAAGTGTACTAAGCTAGCAGATGACAATGCAAGTTCATATCACGAACACCACCAACAACTCCAATATGACCAACACCTCAACCACCACTATCCACACCAACACCAACTCCACCACCACCACCACCATCACAACCTCAATCAATATGTACACGAACACCACCACTTGTATCCCAATGCCTATCGTAACCTGCACGTCCAGTATCCGTTGCCCAGCCACCACCATACCGTCACGCCAACACAAAAACAAAAACGTGCACCACAAGCGCTGCCCTTGCAATATGTCAGCAACAGTTGTTCCTCCTCATCGCTTACCAACGACAGCCAGAGCACGCAACGCACCAGCTTGTCCACCATCTATCGGCCACCTAGCTACTACAGCAGCGCCGCGATGATAGGCAGCGGCGGCGTCGGCGTCGGCGTCGGCACAAACGCACTAACGAAGGCCGCGCAAAGGCAAAAATTACTAACGCAACGCATTGATATGTTTACGCGCTCTTTGCCACCACCGCCATCACCGCCAACAACGCGGACGCTTGGCGCGGCAGCTGCGGGTAGTTGTATTAGCATCGCGAGTGGTAGTAGTGCGAGCAGCAGTAGAAGGGCCGATGTAGAGAGCATTGGCAGTGACAGTTATGCGCCCTCCTCGGTGGCGTATGAAGAGCCAACAGCATTGGATATTATCGCTACGAGCGACGAAGAATGTACTGCGTCCACAGTTGAAGCGGCGGTTATGGTGGCTGCGCGCGGCACGTCAGACAAATTTTGAGCGCTCTCTCCCCCCGTTCACAGTTACAATCAGTATAAAAACAACAAACTGAATAAATTAAGAATTTATGCATTTACCCTGAAACTACTACAAATATCTCTCTCTTCTTAACATTCTTCTCTTTCCCCTCGTTCCGCGTCCCACGATTTCTGCGCACATTGGCCAACCATAGAAACGCACGTGCAATGGTGGTCACGCAACAAGCGTTCGAATGGCAGCAATAACAACAATCACTTGCGACGTAGCAATATTTATACAGCACACCCAGCTGATAGTATACGTGGCCTGCAACAGCCATCGCTTTCGGCGGCCTCATCGCTTACCACAATGACCGCAATGGGCGCATCAGCGGCACCCCTCCATTCCGCTGCGGTCACACCGAATGCAACACAGCCGCCACAGTTGCCACACCAACAACAACAGCAGCAGCAGCAGCAGCAACAACAACAACAGCAACAGTACTACCACCATCCATATCATCAACATGCGCTTCAAAGCTCGCTACACCGCAGCCTAAGCGGACAACATCAACGCGCGCCCGACTACGAATACGAGCATGAATACCATCAACCACAGGAATTGCAATTACAGCTGCAGCACCAACGCCAACACAGTTCGTCTATGTCATCGGTGTCCGATTCGCCGACATTGCCGGTGGCAAATAGCAACAAGCCGAGGCCAATGCAATTGCAACATCAGCCGCTGCAACACCACCATCAACAACAGCAGCAGCAGCAGCAGCAGCAGCAGCAGCACGGTACACTCAGCAGTGTGGCCGATGGTGTGACAGTGGGCTTTGGTGGCGGTATGGTTGGTGGTGTGAGCCGTCGTGGTGCGTCTGAATTGTGTGACGATTCGTCATGTCGGTGGCCCAACGCAACAATTGTGGTGGCCAGCTGAGTAGAAGCGTACAAGTGCAATAGGCCGGCGACGTTGAGTGGCGCAATGACGTTGCTGCCAGTGAATCCATATCGGGATCATTATCAGAAATACCAGCAACAGCAGCAGCAGCAGCAGCAGCTTCAGCAGCAGCGTGTTGTCGTCGAGCCATCGGAATTTGTATGGACGAAATCATGCAGCTCCGAACAGCTGAAGAATGACTGGATATGGCATTGAGTGCAGCTATAGGGGTATGAGGATGACGATGCAATGAGCGGTGAAATTTTGTAAGCATTAAGCATAGACAAAGGATCGTATGGTCGCAACGAGTAAACTTTAAGTAATACACATACATACATACATACATATGTATGAATGTGTATGTAGTTGAACTTTTGGGGCATTGCTAGGGATAACAAAATCAAGTGAGTTGTGCTATCAATGTGACAATCGTGTAAAAAGGCCGGCTTGGGTTTATGTATACGTCGGTTCCGGAAATGTGCCGCAAGGAGTGAAAATAATGAAAACAGTTTTGATAATTGAATTTAACCAACATTCGTTGCGGTTTAAAAATCTAGTCCTATTAAAAGCTTCCCTAAATATCTGATCCTTTTTCTTCTTCAGTTGTACGGTTACTCAAAGAAATATACATTTTGAGCTATTTAGATCTGGTCTGAAAGATATTGTGGCTATTTGTACATATTCTACATTTCTATATTCTACAAAAAAAAAACGAAAAAAGCTTTCGCAAATCATTGCCTCGCATGACCACCAGAACGCTTTTACATAACTCTTCTTTCCTTTGAATTAGTTATTCAAAAAAACTTGGTCTTTAGACCCAAAATTAGTTTCATTATTGAGGCATTTTAAAGTGCTCTTTTAGGCCTGCATACCTGCATGCATACTGAAGTTTAAAATTAAATTTTATGAAGTTATTAAATGAATTTTTTTTTTTAATTTCGCCGATAAGTTTAAAACCCAAGGTTTACTTTTTATGTTGCTTGATAACAATTATTGGTCAACATTTATTTTTTTTCTTGCTTGATAACAGTTATTATCCAACGTTTATATTTTAAGTTGTAAGATAAAAACATTAACGAAAACGGAGATGGAAAAGAAGATAAAAATGATGAAAATAAAAGAAGAGTAAATAAGTGTTATCAGACAAGGTAAAAATATACGTGGAGTAATAACTGTTATCAAGCAAGGTAAAAAATAAACGTTGATTTATCAAGCAAGGAAAAAAGTAAAGGTTGGGAAATAACTCTAATTGACGACAGAAAACAAATTTATCCTGCATAACAGTTATGAGGAACGGAAAAGGTTAACTCTTATTCGCGAAATAAAAAATATTTCTCATCTAGTAGCTGTTAGGGAGCTGCGTTTTTCAGATAAAACTTATGACTGTTATGTCGCTGCTAAATACAGCTCCTTCGCATTGAGACTACAAGAGTCAGGAGAGTACTTTTTTTTGAAATATTATTCTCTCTGGGGTCGATTGGGTCGATTTTAAATGGAATAGTAACAACAACGAGGCTAGACTTCAATAAGGATATGTCAATGAGGTTCAGACTCACTACAGAGAGTAGTGCGCAGCAAGTGGTCTTTAGCAGAAAAATGTATGACGGAATGCTGCTCAACATCTACGGTCTAGTAGGTTAAACTGGAAAACTTTTATGTCGCAATTTTGACTCGTTTATTTATTCGGTTACTGCTCAACAGTTCCGCTGTCTTCTTTTTGGCTAATACATGGTTAGTGCTACAGTCGTCCGGCAACTAAAAGAACTTACCATGATCGAGCTCTGCGCAAAACACCGCCGCACCTAGACCCTTGTCCATCTATTAAACCATCTCACGCCAGCCTTCGACCTCTATAATTGCTGCGAAATTCATCTAGATCCATAATCAGAAGTCAATTCTTTCAGAAAGAGTTGACGCTATACCATTGTAACTGTAGGATCTGGATGCGAACTTTGCCGTAGCAATAAGCCTGGCGGCAGTTTTAACGCTATATTCCTGGCCGACAGTTCCGCTGACGGAAGATGCAACGAGGTTAGTCTAAATAAAAGAAGAATAAGCTCTTCTGATAACATTTATTTTTCTGAGAGCAACAGCTGAATGCTCGTGCTATATACTGTATAAACCCTGCTCCTATAATTGGATCGTAAATAATAGAATTCGTTCGTAAAGCTTTAGTATGAAATTTCGAAAAAAGGTAGACGATTTTAGATACAAATATGACCACCTTTCTAGGCTTGAAATGAGACTCAACTTGTTAGTAGCCTAGTCGCGCGTGAGTGAAGCGAAGGAGAATCTGATTAAATGATTCAACCTCTTCATATTCATTCTCAGTACGAAGCTACAATAAGAAGTACCAAGGTCCAAGGTCCAACTAAGACCAGCCATGAAAAAATTCACTGGATATTTGTTAGTGATACCGCCCTTTCCATCTTATTGCTAGTGGCGAGAGAAAAATGCATAACAAACGATTCAGTAGATTGGCACAATTATGTTGAGTGAATAAAAATAGTAATATTCTCCAGCTACTTTTACAAGTAACGCCCGCATGCAATATTATTAGGTTGATTGTAATACAAAAATCTTGCAAATGAAATATTAGAAAGCAGCTGATGTACCTTTAAGGCCCCTCCCAACACCAGGTGATCCTCCTGGTCATAAAAAAAGAACACTCTCTGTTTGCCTGGTATTAGTAGCAAGATCAAAGCCACTGTTATCTAAACATTTCAAAGCGACAGCTGCTACAGTTGGCAAAGCGATTATCATCCACTTGAACTAAATTAGTCGGTTATTTTTCACAATATGTGCTAATTATATAGAAACAAAAGCATAAGCAACAAAATAAGTACCCCGCTGTGACACAGTAACCGCCGGTAATCAGCGGCTGCTAAGAAACGCTTGAAATTTAATGCCACAAAAGTAGATAGATACATATTTTATGAAATGCACTTGAAGGATACACAAATATCGATTACAATCTGCCTGAAAATGTAACCATATCTTGCCAACAACCAGTAGGCGCCTAATTAAATGTCTTACTTATTGATTGGTAAAACCAATTGATACTGATCTCTTTCGCAAAGCCACTTGTTAACAAGCTGACTACACAATAAGCCAGGCGACACTCTTAAGTATTTTATAGACATATGCGCACACTCTCCTACATACATATGTATGCTGACATTTCCATCAATGTTTCTTAGAAACTTGCTTACTTCAAAACAGTCCTGAGAATATAAATAAATGTTTATTGGCTTAGGAGCCACTTGCGACATGCACTACTTGGAATTGTTACGTGTTTATACAGTAAGGGCATACAAAGTAGCAAAGTTGTTGTTGTTTTTTTTTTCGTTTTCCAATTTTTCAAATTCTCTATAATTCCAACAGCGCACAACAATCCACTTTAAATTGCACCCATAAGAACCTTAAAATCTCTCGCAATCCCATCTGTTTTCTTTTTGCTCCCTCTCTCTCTCTCTCTCTTTCGCTCTTCATCTCCCCCTTGGCATATCATACAAATTATCTGCAATCAAAAATTCTAAGCACACGTTCACAGTCGCAATTTAACGATGGTATCATGGCAAGACATAATCCTTAAAAATACTTCAATGGAAACAAATACTTCAACCAGCCAGTATGCGAGTGTACGTGCATGTTAGTGTGCGTGTGTGTGTGTGTGTCAGTGCCAATAGTCCTGCAGACTGAAAAGTAGTAAAAAGCCGTAGTAACCATTGGCCGACTGGCGACACACGCTGATTTTCTGACGCGCATACATACATTCATGCTCGCATGCCTTCCGGTGCAAGTGCAATTGGTGCTCGCTCGATTCCTGTGAAGTGTTGGAGGAGAGATAAAAAATGAGAATTTCCACAAAGCAAAAAAATAAAAATAAAAATAAATGTTGCAACACAGCATGCTATGCGCGTCGCATACGAGTATGTGTGTTTCTTTTTTTGTGTTTGGCGTCCACAACAGCAATGACATCAGCATGTCAGTCACGTTTCGTCCTTTGTGAGTGCGCAACGTCTACAAATACTGCATATGTATGTGTGTATATATGTATGCACACTTACATACATTTATGCACATGACTGACTACGGAGCAGGAGCTCTGTAGTGGCAGTGAAAGATTCTATGTCGTTGAGTTTCTGCTGGATCAAAGTCAGCTCGAGCGACGTGCGGAAGCCTTTGCAAAGGCTTTCACGCAGGAAGTGTGAATTGGCCGCATTTCCGTTAGTTCGCAACTAGTTTGGAATAATGAAAATAACGTAACAAGTTGGCTCGTTACGTTTCCTTCTTGATTAGCAGCACTTTTGCCAGTTTTCCCCATAACCAGCAGTTACACAATTAGATCGCCTTTTCTGTGTAGCTTACTTCATTAGGGCACATCTATGTATGAGCAGCGAAAGGATTATATTTTTTTGCTACGGAACTATTTATTAGTAGAATACGTGTCACTAAAATAACGAGTTGATAAGCGAAGGGTGCAAGAGAGTGGTTAGGAAGCTTGTTATGAAATGCATTGTATTCACTATATGCATTCAAATTCATCAGCGTCATCTTTATTGATAACTTGATGGACGTGTTATCGATAATTTATCGACATTTTTTTCGATAGCTTATCGATTGCCTATTGATAACTTTTTTTTGTATTCAACAATGACTTTTCGATACATTTATCGATAATTATCGGAATTATTTAGCGATAACTTCTCGATACGTTTATCGGTATACATTCACGAACAATGTTCTGTAGTGTTTTCTATGGTTATATCGATAAAGTTCGCTATTTCGTTATCGCTTTATTAATCGACAACGCTATAAGCACATTCTAAAATAATATTACCTTTCTACTTTTAATTTAGTATTCTGCCGGCTCAAGGTCAATTTTAGAAAAATAAATGAAAACGCAAGTTTTCTTGTTTATTTTGTTTGCGATATGTTTCGGCAAAATACTAAATTATTATCGATTTCTTCTCGATAAGTATAGTCCTTATTTCGGTCGGTGTTTTTTTTATGATATTTATCGAAATTCCAACCAATGTCATTCACGATAGCTGTTCGATCGGATTTGTATTCACATTCGCACTCGTTTTCAAATTTGCACTCAGAACAACTTAACACCAGTTTAAAGCTTTACTCTTCTAAACACATACAGATGTATGTAGGTATGTAGGTATGTTTCGCATCAATAATTTTTCTAACCGAGGCACGTACACCAAACACCCCTGGGAGTCTTAGTCCACTTAGGAATTCAACATTTCGGCTTGGTGGGCTATTTACACACACACACACACACTTTCTTACTTTTACACACACAGTCAGACAGACAGACAGACATAAAAAAAACTAGGGTTGACTTTAAAAATTTGCTGAGTGAGTGAAAATCTTAATCAACTGATAAGAAAAGGATCATTTATTACAAAAGTACTCATAGCTCTACGCGTTCAAATAGTAGCATGGATAAATGTCGCTGCTTGAGTTTCGTATATGTAACTACAAACATACAAATATACATATTTCATGAAATTATTGTACAAGTAAGTAAGTAGGTCAAAAATCATATCATGGCAATTCGCAATGCAGTGAAAATGAAATTTTTACAGCAGACAGAAAGTTGTAAACTCAAATTTATGTAAATAGCCAAAAAAAAAGGAAACGTTATAAAGGCGTAACATTGTTGTAATAAATAAAATGTAGAACAAAAAACCCAAGCCAAACACAAATTAATCGATATATGAAAAGGTTGTTACAAAAGCTAAATTAGAATTAATGTATTGGTGTGTAAAAAATCGTAGAAAAAAATAAAAATAATGAAATAAAAAATTTTGTTTAACATCCAAGAAATGTTGTGCGGTAGAAGAGAATTTCAATTTAAAAATTGCGATCGGAGCCAAAAAAAAAAAATAAATAAAACGCGAAAATACAAAAACATGTTTCAATACTCAAAACTTCTCAGTTATATATAAAATGCATTTTTATAGAAAATATGAAAAATTAAAAAAAAAATAATAACTAAAATTACTGCTATATAAGCTAAGATCTGCATAAAGTTTTGCTTCAATGTTCGGGAATCATAAAAAAATTTTCTATTTTATTTTCATGTCTAGAGCTTTCTTGCTCCTTAAACCGAGCTATTTTCAAATCTAATGGTGCATGTGGTGCAAAACCGTTTTAGTTTTGCGCATACTCCAATTTTTTTCGTGCTAAGAAGTCGGTTTTAAGATCGACAAAGATAGGGTATTTTTCATGATTCGATATATGGTGACTGTCTGGTCTATGGTGCATATTCCGAGGTAAAGACAAATTTATAAGTCCAACCTATTCCTTGAATACGAGCTTAGCATTTCACATAATATGCTCACTTAGGCCTTGTACGGGACTTTGAGCAGGCTGATTCCGCGGTAGTTGGAAACCACTAAATTTGAATAGCTCAGTTAGCCGGCCGTCGGCTCTCGTCATAGTATAACATCGGCTTCGTCGTACTCGAATGATGGCTCGAGCTTATCTGCTCCACTGGTTTTTGTAATGTGTAAGTTGTTATTTCCGGACAGGGTGAGTGTATGATATATTTCGGAACGAATTTTCGTAATCCCTTGTCAAATTTGGTTTGGAGACAAACCGGTTTCGGCATTGTACCATCTTCAGTGTCATTTTCCGTTCTCTATAGCTATATAACTTTGCAGAAAAAAAAAATATTATTTCGGTTTCTTTGAGTTTTCACTGATAATATGATTGCACTTTCGAATCGCAAATTCTTTAGGTCGACTTCTTTTAGCTGGTACAGCAACAGGTGGTATGTATAACAAGATATTAGGTTTTAAATTCTATTGCAAAGTAATAAAACCCGCCGTAAGGGCTAAGACCAGACAATACTATCGAAAATAAAAAAAAATGTAGATTCTATAAAATAAGTTTTGAACCTTGATCTACACATTTCTCGCCGAAACTTTGAAAAAGTCAAAACTAAACCCTCAGAAGTTGTTTTTTTGTTGTTTTAGTTTTTTGCAAATTGTAAACAAAACTCATCTGTAAATACATGCACACATGCATACAAAGTCGGACGTTCGCAAACATTCACTTCAAAATATTTTTTTCCTATATTTTNTGTTTTTTATAATTGTAATTGCACAAATTTTATTTTCTTTGTAAATTCTAAATAAAACTCATCTGTAAATACATGCACACATGCATACAAAGTCGGACGTTCGC